CCAGTGACCTTGAAAGTGGGTCAAGGTCATTCATTTGAACAAACTTGGTAGCCCTTGATCCCAGCATGCTACAGGCCCAATATCAGTACCCTGGGCCATTTGGTTATTGAGAAGAAGTTGTTTGAAGATTTTAACATATTTGACCCCTGTGACCTTGAAAGTGGGTCAAGGTCATTTATTTGAACAAACTTGGTAGCCCTTGATCCCAGCATGCTACTGGCCTTTTGGTTATTGAGAAGAAGTTGTTTAAAGCAAAAAGTTGACGCCGGACAGACGGACGGACGACGGATGCCGCACCATAACATAAGCTCACTTGCCCTTCGGGCAGGTGAGCTAAAAAATGAGGGACGCGGAATCACAACTTTTAAATGTCCATCCAACGACATACAAATTAAACAATGTTTGGCCTCTAAATATGACAAGCCAATCAGCCTTGAGGTCACAAAAGTGAGCGAAAATGGCCATCTCCGACTCTCTGTTCTGACAAGCTTAAAACTGGACTTGGGTGTCTGACATGATAATGTAAGGGGATGAAATATCATAAAAATAAGTTGGTTTCCTATTGTAGAAACACCTACTGTACTGACATTGAATTGCGTACAGACCGTGTGTTTCCAAGACGTTACACCCTAGGGATTTCATTCCGGGGACAGCAGTGTCCGACCAATTGAAATTTAACCATTTTTCGATGTTTCATGAAGTCTATCGAAAATTATTCTGCATGATATCATGGTAAATCATACATCAAATTAAAGAAAAATGATTTGCCTGATGATCTAGACTGCTCGTCGGCTGGATATTATGAATGGTTATTATGAATGTTTTCTTGAAAGTTTTTTTTTATTAGGGGACAGAGTTAGCAACTTTGTTTATTATTATGAGTGTAAATTGACAGATGGGGCTAGTACCTGTGAATGGGGACACATGTTTGAAAGAAAATCGCACAGACTTGGGTTGGGGAAGGAATAAAATGTATCCATTGGATTATGCAAGTGTTAAATTTTTACCACTCTACTGACAGTATATAAAATGTAACACTTCAATTGTGTAGAAAACAGTATTTTCATTGTTTTTCCTGCTGATTTGGTCTCGCCTATATATATAGCTACTTAATACATTATAAATATGATCCATTATACAGGTCCAGTACACTCTGCCAATAGAGCTGTATAGCTGTAAAAACCTATATTAGCTGTATGGCCCTCTTCAAAATAGGTCTTTTGAGCTTTTTTCATGTGATTTTATTTTTTAAAGAAAATGAAACAAAGTCGCTGTTAAAAGATTTTATCATTAGGTTGATTCTTTTTAAAAAATAATGATGTAAAAAAATTGGAAATTTAACATTTATAAAAAATGAAAATAAACATCTAATTGTATGTTATTTGTAGTCAACATTACAATAAACCTTATTGTTTAATGCGACTTTGCTTTAATTTAATGAAAATTGAAATAGCTCAATCGGCAGAGTGAGAGTGTACTGGACCTGTTATAGACACAAACTGATAGGTTTTGTTTTGCTAATTTTGTTTTATATGGTCAATGCCATCAATTATTTGTATATGACATGAAAGGATATACTTTGTACATTCTATAAATATACGATGTTTGTGGTAACCCCTGTTCTCAGAAATCGTGTGGATCGTTTTTTGCCGATGCCGTAATAATGTCACACTATTGTCAGCGATATCCAGCGATTTGGACAAAATCCTAAGACTACTCGTCAAATTTCAGTCGATGTAAACGTTAACGTTTGAATAAGATGTTTCGTGTGATATTTACCTAAGTCTAAGGACACGCTACTGCTTATTAAATCAGGAATTGTACCATAGGCTTTCGTGGACATTATTGTTTTGAGAAACCCTCCAGCCAGCTCACCTAATCAACGTTGGTAATGTACTCCCGAAATGGCATAGAAAACAGTGGCAAGTAAAGCGTTTCAGAGATATAACCTGATTAATACTAACGTCTTCAAGTTTGAAATACCACAAAAACTGTATCTATGATCGTTAACTGTTCCCGTTAAAGGAGGACTATGACCACAAAGTTTCATTGTAACATTTAATTTCATTAAAAAATCCCAATATTTGAAAGCCAACTTTTCTAACCTTGTCAAGAGCAACATATAATTGGGAGTGAAATATATAAAATCAATGTTCATCAATTATTTTAATATGACATGAAAGGATCTACTTTGTACCGCATTCTATAAATATACGATGTTTGTGGTAACCCGTATCTCAGAAATCGTGTGGATCGTTTTTTCGCCGATGCCGTACTGCTATGTTGATTTTTTTCTTGAGATAATCGTCTGCATTTGCACACAGGTAATAGACACAACATATCCTATGCCTATATTCTAATATGTAATTAGTAAAGGTAAATAGCGAAATGCTAAATCAAGTGCAAGAAAACGACGAAAAAAATAAAAATCGTGAGCCCGGCGGTCAAAACTGTGTTTAGATCTCCTCACAAATCCCCATTTTACCATTTAAAACGATCCGTTGAAATCGCCTATTCAGTTAGCGAAACATTTGGGACGTCCAGAACTTTTGTTGAAAAACGGCTATTTTTAACGGGATATCAACGATTTTCAGGGGTAACCATCCTTGACGTGTTTCCAAATTGATATTCCCATTTGACACACGTGTGTGAATAGAAAGATTCTGAAGCGTCTTCAAACCATATCTCTTAAAATAATTGATAAAGTAAGCGACATCAGAAGATATGTTATTCATATGACTTTGATACAACTATATACCGGACACAGCTGATAAAAGTTGTATCAATGTTTATATAGCAATATATTCTAACTGTGTTCATCACCTATGCGAGAGACGTATAACAAAGCCCTATGCCCTACGTACACATATGTGGCACGGCGTATAGCTTAATATCTGTACATCGTATGAATTAAATTCACGATAACTCAATCATTTTTCAACAAATCAAATTAAAATTTGGTATATAGTTGTATCATAGTCATATGAATAACATATCTTCTGATGTTGCTTACTTTATCAATTATTTTAAGAGGTATGGTTTGAAGACGCTTCAGAATCTGTCGAGTTCTATTCACACACCATGACACGTATGCCACGCCGCCGATCGTAATAATAAATTAATCATAACTCGATCATTTTTTCAAATATCGAGCTGAAATTTGGAATATATATCAATAAAAGCCTAACTAATAACATATCTTCTGATGTCGCTTACTTTAGCGGGTAATTGTAACGATATTATCTGGCGACGCTTTCTTCACTTTATATGCGAATACACACATGTGCCACGCCGCGATCGTAAAAATTCAATTCATCATAACTCGGTCATTTTATCAAATATCAAATTAAAATTTGGTACAGATGTGTATTATAGTCATATTAACAACATATCTTCTGATGTCGCTTACTTTATTCAGTATTTTTAAAGATTTTGTCTGGCGACGCTTGTTGTCACTTGAAGACGCTTGTTGTCGGTTGAAGACGCTTTTAAGTGAGACC